GGGACAGCAAGTTGACTGCCCAAGCAGGACTTCCTAAGCAATCATCTAGAATGCACCAGAATGACTACTAGGCTGACACTAAACCAACTTAATAGCGGCAAAGTTGGGCGGTAATATCGATCCAGGTGTGATTAAACTCACGGTGCGAAGGACATCGTAGCTCAAGTGGGTAGAGCGTTGGCTGGCGTAAAAGGCCTCCCTCCTATGCGGGTTCGAATCCCGCCGAATGCCGCGAGTTCCAGAATGCCGCGAGTTTTTTCACAATTGGGTCAACTAAATTAACTAAATCTGCCAAACCAACTTAACGGAAATATGCTAGGTGTCATCTCAAAGGATTTACTGAACATACTACTTTGAAGTCTAACTATAAAAAATTTCCAACTGACGACATAATTCGCTCCACCTGCAAACTTTCTTGGATACCTTTTATTGCGACCATATTGGGTCTCTTACGTATCTCAGACCTCACCGAAGCCCACTTTATTTGAAGTCAGGCACCGACTGTTCGGGCGTCGCTCTCGACGATGTTCACCACGAGCCTCAGTAGTCTGAAGCAACTCGATGACTGCGGTTGCACTCGTCGGATCTGCTCTACTCTCTGACCACTCTCTCACCTGACCCCGGTGTCAAAACAGAGTTAAGAAGACCGGAGATGAGGGAGGGCGCAGGTGGCTGGTGCGAAAAACGGTCAACACGCGTACCGGCAGCACATCTGGCTAGGTAGGCTCCCGCCTGGGAGTGCCATAAAAGCCACATTAGGAAGAAGCCATTGAGACTGGCTCTCAACTCGCAGTAAGCCACTCCACACAGCAAGACCCACTCTGGACTGACTGCGGTGCCCAAAGTATCCCGTCAGTTGGTAACACTCCTAGCCATGGCTTTAGCGCACCGTGATAGCTTCAAGCGCATCAGATTGTCTTTAGTGAGGAAAGAAATGCGCTGACCTCACTCTCTCCCCCACCGCCAGCAACAGGCCACCGCCTAGCTGATTGGTCGCCAGAGGTGAGAGGGGCGCAGTGCTAAAAAAGAAAACAAGTCGGAGCAGGTTCTGAAAA